ATTATTATTATTATTATTATTATTATTATTGTTATTGTTATTTTTATTATTATTATTTTACTATTATTATTATTATTATTATTATTATTATTATTATTATTATTATTAATTTATTATTGTTATTATTATATACATATGTATGTGTGCAAACACACACACGCACGCACACACACACACACACCACCACACACACACACACACACACAACACACACACACACACACACACACACACACACACACACACACACACACACACACACACACACACACACACACACACACACCACACACACACACACACACACACACACACACAAAAAAAAAAAAAAAACGCACAAAAAACACGCACACACACACACACACACACACACCACACACACACACACACACACACACACCACACACACACACACACACACACACACACACACACACACACACACAAAAAAAAAAAAAAAAAAAAAAAAAAAACGCACACACACAAACACATACATATAGTGTAGGTAGGTAAATAATACTGTGCGTCTATGCATTTAAGGTGTGTGTGTACCTTTGTGCATTACTGAACACATGAACAAGTCGCGTTCGGGTTTGCGTACACCAGATGGGCCCTCGAACGCACGAAGATGGGCGGAGGGTGGGGTGGGGTGGGTGGGGGACGCTCACAAGAAAGTTCAAATTGTATATTCACAGCACTGATGCACGTGTTGTTTAATGTGTACGTGAACAATCGTGTATTGAGATTTTTTTTTGTGAAGATCATAAGATTGTGAATAAGCTTGGGGTCGGGAGTTATAAATAAGTTATAAATAAATAAGTTATAATTAAGTTATAAGTAGTGTTAAGAGTAACTTGGAGATCTTGGAGACTTCAGAATTCATGACAGTAGGAAAGTATATAGAGAAATTGAATTATTCTTTCTCAATACGTTTTGAATTACGTTATTACAACCCCCCCCCCCCATTCTTTGCCACACATACACAAACACTCAAACCCCAACCACAACACACACACACACACACACACACACACACACACACACACACACACACACACACACACACACACACACACACACACACACACACACCCACCAACCCACCCACCCACCCACCCACCCACCCCCACCACCCACCCACCACCACCCACCCACCCACCCACACCCACCCACACCCACACCCACACCCCCACACCACACCCACACAAACCATCACAACCAAACAAACCAACCACCCAGCGCGAACAAACCACGCCACAGACAAAAGAAATAACAGGAGAAGACAGTTTTGTATCGAATTACCTGTCACGGCTGTTGGGCAGTAACGGTAAAAATGGCGTTTACTCTATTTGTGTTCTCAGCTCGTCACCGCCGGCGAGAAGACGCTGGCAGAAAGGTCGATGCCGCCGGTGGCTTCGTCTGCGGGGCGTGGTTTCCGATTTGAGGGGGAGGGGGCGCAGGCCGGGAAAGGGTCCCGAGGTCCCGATTTAAGGGGTTTGGGGGCTTTCGATTTTGGGGCGTGGTTTCCCGATTTTGAGGGGGGTTTGGGTGCTGGTTCCGATTTGGGGGTTTAGGGCGTGGTTTCCCGATTTTGGGAGATTTAGGGGGTTTGGGGCGTGGGATGGGGGTTTGGTTCCGATTTTAGGGGTTTGGGGTGGTGGTCCCGATTTTAAGGGTATTTGGGGGCGCGTGGTTCCGATTTTAGGGGGGTTTTAGGGGTTCCCGATTTAGGGGGGTTGGGGCGTGTGTTCCCGATTTTAAAGGGGGTTGGGGTGGTTCCTTCAGGGTTTGGGGATTCCTTTTGGGGGTTGGTCGTTCCCCGATTTAGGGGGGAGGTGGGTTAGGGGTGTGGGGTTTTTTTTCCGATTTTTAGGGGGGATTTGAGGCGGGTTGGTTTCCCGATTCCCGGTTTGGGGGTTGTGGTTTCCCGATTTTGAGGGGGGTTTTGGGGGTTTTGTGGTTTCCCCGAGATGTTTAAGGGGGAAGTTTTGGAGGTTTTTTTTGGGGGTGGTGGTTCCGATTTTTTTAGGGGGCGTGGTTCCCGATTTTAAGGGGTTAGGGTGCGTGGTTCCAGATTTTAGGGGAAGTTGGAGGTGTGGTTCCCGATTTTAAGGGGGTTTGGTACCCGATTTTAGGGGGTTTGGGGCGTTTGGTTCCTGATTTTAGGGGGGTTTGGGTGTGGTTCTCGATTTTAGGGGGATTTAAGGGTGTGGTTCCCGATTTTAGGGGGATTTGGAGCCTGTATGGACATTTGAATTCATGCCCGCGGGAATGTCAGCAGGCCGGTCTTTTAATGATCGTGTATCTGTATAAACAGCTGTCCTTCTGTTTGGTACTGTATCTGTTCTTCTTCTGTGTCTGTATCTGTGTCTAACTATATCTATATCTATTTCTATACTTATATGTCTAGGTCTTTCTGTATCTGTATATTTATCTATCAATATATATATAAATATATATATATATCAATCTATATAGATAGATACAGATATACACTGACAAACCGATATTTGATGAGTATGTGTACAAAGGATTTTTTTTTTTTTTTTTTGACAGCTACAAGAGCCAATAATCTATTCATCTTCACTCGTCGCAAATAGAGCACATTCCGCGCCATTGGACTTGATCGCGACCGCCCAGGTAAACGAGCGAAAATCAGCAATTACATATCATTATCGCATAGTTGCGCTACTTGAAGCGATCCCTCCTTAGCGAATTTTAGCTACGTTTTCGCTTCACTAAATGCGCTCTATGTAGCACAAGTGTCCGATCCCAATGGCCGGTCTTTAGAACAGGAGCCCTCAATTCCATTACGAAGAAAGACGCTTAATCATCATCGCCTGTGATCATGTCGTCGAGATAATAATGATCGTCGTTATTAAAGACCGGTAATAAGAGATAACGAGGGGGAGGGAGGGATAGGGGAAGGGAGGGGGAGGGGAGGGGGAAGAAGAGGAAAGGGAGGGAGGGGGAGGGGGATGGGGGGGAGGAAAAGAGAGAGGGAGGGAGAAGGGAATAGGGAAGGGGAAAGAAACACGAGCGACAGTTGGACAGCGCGAGACAATGGCTTCCTCTGCTACAGATTTTTTTTTAAACATTTATTTCCTGTTATATTTTCCTTTTTGTTTTATCAATTGTCGTTTCTCGGTGCTTCGGAGCGGAGTGGAATTCTGTTGTTGAGGGTTATTAGCTGTGACTGATGTATATTTTTTTGTGTTTTTCATTTTCTTCTTATTAGATTTCAAGGCTTTTATCTGCTGTTAATACTGTTGCCTTTCTTATTCTTCTATTTCCCTCTTCCTTCAACCCCACCTGTGTCTTCTTCTTCCTCCTCCTCTTCCTCTTCTACCTCCATCTCCACCTGTGTCCTCTTCTTCTTCATCCTCCTTCTCTTCCTCTTCTTTTACCTCCATCTCCACCTGTGTTCTCTTTTTCATCCTCCTCCTCATCATATTCTTCCTCCTCGACTTCTTCCATTCCTCCTCCCTCATCTCTTCTTCCTCCCCCTCTACCCCCTCTTCTTCCCCCACTTTCTCCTCCATCATCTCTTCTTCCCCTTCCTCTCCCCCCACTTACTCCTCCTTCATCTCTTCTTTCCCTTCCTCTTCCCCCACTTCCTCCTGCATCATCTCTTCTTCCCCTTCCTCTTTCCCCTCCGCTTCCCCGCGACACTCCAGAGGAAACCCGTCCTTTTTCCTCCCCCCCCCCCCGGCCGCCAGTCCTCGACTTCCTCCATTCCTCCTCTTCCTCCCCCACTTCCTCCTCCCTCATCTCTTCTTTCCTCCCCTCTTCCCCCTCTCTTTCCCGCTCCAGAGGAAACCCGTCCTTTTTCCTCCCCCCCCCCCCCCCACAGCCGCCAGACTCACTCGTGGCATCTGTTCCTTATTTCGGGGTCGAGGCGCCTCCCGGACCGTGGCTAAATCCCCTTCCCGTTTTCCCACGACACCGAAAAAACTCCCACAGCGCCGGCACGCGTCAACCCCGGTAGAGTGAACACGTCGAGACACGCACTAATCATTCTGGTTTCGTTTTTAATTATCTATTGGTTGCGAATATCAAAACGAATTCTGGGGTATGGGTATTTTTTTTTTTTCTTCATAGACGTGTTTTTTTTGGAAGGGATTCGGGACATGTAAGTCTTCCTCGGTGTTTCGTCCTGTGATGAAGGTGGACAAGGTGGACCATTTCCGGAAGTCGGGACCAGCTGTGATGGCCCTTCCGGCTTGAACTTTTCTTACACGAATTGTAACAAATGTACAAGTGCCGTTCCTACAAGTACGTGCGTGTGCGTGTGTGTGTGTGTGTGTGTGTGTGTGTGTGTGTGTGTGTGTGTGTGTGTGTGTGTGTGTGTGTGTGTTTATTATCATCAACACTGTCCTTGGCGTAGATATTGACGATCATCCATCATGTAAAGCAGCATTATTTCTTCCCTACAAAACACACGTACAAAGAACAGAAAAAAAGAAACACAAAATGAAAAAAAAAAAATATAGAAAAAGGAAACACAAAATGAAAATAAATAAAGATAGAAAAAGGAAACAAAAAAATGAAAGATAAAGATAGAAAAAGGAAACACAAAATGAAAATAAATAAAGATAGAAAAAAGAAACACAAAATAAAACATTAAAGATTAAAGAAAAGAAAACCCACATCCCATCCAAACCCAAAACCTTTCTCCCACATCTCATTCGCTCTCTTATCTCTCTCTCTTAATCTTATCTCTTATCTCTTAATCCCCTTATCTCTTATCTCTCAATCCCCTTATCTCTCTTATCTCTTAATCCCCTTATCTCTCTTATCTCTTAATCCCCTTATCTCTCTTATCTCTTAATCCATTTATCTCTCTTATCTCTTAATCCCCTTATCTCTCTTATCTCTTAATCCCCTTATCTCTTATCTCTTAATCCCCTTATCTCTCTTATCTCTTAATCCCCTTATCTCTTATCTCTTAATCCCCTTATCTCTCTTATCTCTTAATCCCTTATCTTATCTCTCCACAGATAACCGAACAAGGCGTGGACATCAACCTGCGAGACGGAGACGGCGCGACGCCCCTGCACTTCGCCGCCTCCCGAGGACACGTGGAAACCGTCCGCTGGCTCCTGAAGAAGGGCGCCTCCGTGTCCCTCGACAAGTTCGGCAAAAGCCCCATCAACGACGCCGCGGATAACGACCACATGGAGGTGAGGGGGGTGATGGGGATGGGGGAGGGGGAGGGGGGAGGGGGAGGGGGAGGGGAGGGGAGGGGGAGAGGGGGATGGGGGATGGGGGGGGGATAGGGAGATGGGATAGGAAGGGGGAGAAGGGAATAGGGAAGGGAGAGGGAGGGGGAGAGGGATAGGAAGGGGGAGAGGGAGGGGGTGGGGAGGGAGAGGGATAAGGAGATGGGGATGGGGGGAAGGGGAGGGGAAGGGGGAGAGGTCATAGGGAAGGGGAAAGGGGAGGGGGAAGGGATAGGATGGGGGATAGGGAGAGGGGAAGGGAGAGGAAGAGGAGGGGGATGGGGTGGGAGAGGAAGAGGGAAAGGGAGAGGGGGAGAAGGAGATGGAGAGAAGGATGAGGAGGGAGAGGGAATGAAATGGTGAGGGGAGAAGGAGAGGGAGAGGGGGAGGTTGAGAGGGAGAGAACTGACAGGAGAGAGACGAATGGTAGCATGGAAAAAAAAAGTGCCGGAGGAGAGAAACGGAGGGAGGGAGGGAGGGGCGGATGGAGGAAGGAGGCGGATGGAGGGTACATTGAAAAGAAAATAAGTACACCCTTAAACAATAGCGCAACGGGGTTAGCGGCGGGAAAGCTTTTGTTTGAAGTTCAGCAGATGCATAGGTACAGACAAACAGTATATACCCCTCCCCCCCCTCCCCCGACGCATAAACACAGACTGCCGTAGTGTGAAATAATATGCAAATTAAGTAACGGTAAAGGATCACATTGGTTGGAAAAATAAAAGCATCAAAGGTTAATTATTTGATAGTAATTTGTGTTGCACTCCACTCTGAAAGACATGCTGTATCCCCATTTATATTTTGTATTTGTATAGGGATTAATGGGGTGTGATGAATATTTCGTATTTTCTATTTACGTTTAAGAGTAGATGAATAATATTATAGAGAATAGTCAAGTTACAAAGGGTTGTGATAAAACACGGCGTGCAATTCCCGTAGGGTTTTGTACCCGAGCCGGAGACCTCAACGGGCGTCAAGAAAGTTATCAAATCAGATTGCTTCTCATTTTATTTCGAGCTTCACGTATTGCCCTCACCCTGATGAATAGAATTATATATTCCACTGTAGTAAAAAGGAATTATTTTTTTCCTTTATATTGCAATCATCCAAATAACTTCCCTTATAAACATTCCACAGTGGCAAGGAAATTTGATTTCGTATATTACCATCACCTTATCATCAATATTATTACCATCATTAATGCAAGTACCACCAAAACGATCGTAATGACCAGAATTATTGCTAAAATCATCATTAAAAAAATTAGAAGCAAATGGGTTAAATAACTTCCCTTAACCATGCATTGCACAGTAGGAGGAAAACTCAAGCGTCCTTTGCCACCACCAGGTCCTGCAGCTCCTCGTCCAGCATGGCACAGCGCCGGACTACGCCACGGACTCAGACTCGACGGACTCTGGCTCGCACCACCACCACTGCACCTGCCACCAGAGCAGCCGCTCCAAGAGAAAGGTTCGTGGGAGGCGTGGGTTGTTTATGAATGTAAATTTAAATAAGTTTGTAATAATGATAATAATAATAATGATAATGAGTATGGATGTAGTTATTATGTATTTATAAATCAATGTATATACTTATATATATATAAATGTATATATACTTATGTAAATAAGTATTATATTAAAAACATAGAGCATGTTTGAGCTTTCAAAATTTTATATGAGTCTATGCTGAACCGCGTAGCTAGCGCGTCAACCGTTTTCTTTGATGCTTACTATCTTCCCATTCTTAGAACGCAGCCCTAACTTCCCGTTTTCTTCGACAGGGTTCCGAGTGCTCACTAACCGGATCGGATTCCTGTACATCTTCGTGCGAAAGTGACTGTCACAGCTCTGGCAACAGTTCAGACTCTGGCGTACATCACGAACCATTTTATTTGCATCCACCGACTGCAACGGAGAGTGAAAGCAAACAAAAGAACCAAAAGAACTCCTTCTTCCTCAATCCGCTTACGGATCTAAAAGAAGCTTCTGATAAATACAACAAAGATAAGATAGAGAAGGCAAAGTCTGGTGACAGCAGTGATGAGAAGTCACAAGAGCCATTCTATCTACACAAACCAGAGGCTGCGACTTACCAACCTAACCGTGTACAAGAGCTCTTTGGTACCAAGAGCGTGAGAAACAGCGTGAAGCAGATCGAAAGTAAGAATCAGTCTGGAAAGAAAACCAAATCCACAGAAAACGGATCCCCTGGAGAACGCAGAGAAAGCGGATCCTCCAGCGGTTCCGTCAAAGAAAATGGGAATTTTAGCAGAAACTCTATTAGACGAAGCGAGAAGAAGAATGGAGCGTTTGAGTATTCTAGTGTGAACTCCGACAAGAAGAAAGGAAAGGTCAACTATGAAGACAGAAAATTGCCCAAGATACCATCAACATCCCAGGCTGTCACATCCTCATTTAAAGGTAAGTCGACATAATGTTTATATTCCTCGTATCGGAGCATCAACTGTGTTAACTGCAGGTGAGTTAATTTTACCAGATAATTCATAACGAAAGGTACGTATTAGATTTACATTGCCATCACGATACCGGGTTACAGTTCTGAAAATTAAAAGTCAGTTTTTTCATATATTACACTCGCATTCCAAAAAAATGATTAGCCACAGATAATGAAGTTTGGTAAAAGGAAATTGTACAAGTCTATGGTGTCAGACGCTAATGGTCGCGGTCTAGAGTCGGCCATATGACACCGAAGCACGACAGAGAACCATTTAGGAAAGGTGGCCCACTCGCCGATGCCATCTGTTCTGGCCCCGGTGCCCCTACCTCCTCCCTCCTCCCCCTCCCCCCTCTGCCAACCCACATCTGCCCGCACCCCATTCCCCCCTTCCTCTCTCTTTCTACCTCTGTTTCTCCATCCCCTTCCATTTCTCATTACTGAGACTTTCTCACTTTCTCCTCCCGTTTCTATTGTCATCTTTCCTCCCTCTCTACCCCTTCACTTTCCTTTCTACTTCTATCCCTTCTTCCACTCTTCTCCCATGCCTCCATTCTCTTTAACTCCCTTCTTTCTCTTTTCCTTACCCCTCGCCTCTTGTGTCTCTTCCACCCCCTTCATACCTCCATCCCTCCTTTTCTCTCTCTCTTACCCCTTGTACCTCTATCCCCTCCCCATCCCTCTCCTTCCCTTCCCTTCCACCCCTCCCCTTCCTCCACCCTCTCCCCTTCCTCTTCTCCTTCCTATCTCCTTTTCCCTCTTTTCCCCTCTCCTCCCCATCCCTCCCCTCCTCCCTCTTCCATCCCTCTCTTCTGCCTCCTTCCCATTCCACCTCCTCCCCCTTCCCTCCCCCCCCACCCCCTCCCCCCTTCCACCCCCTTCCCTCCCTTCCCCCTTCCTTCCCATCCCATCCCTTCCCTTCCCTTCCCTTCCCCTTCCCTTCCCTTCCCTCCCCTCCCCCTCCCTCCCCCCTTCCTTCCCCTTCCTTCCTACCTTCCTCCCCTTCCCCCTTTCCCCTTCCCCCCCTCCCCCTTCTCCCTTTCTTCCTCCTCCCGTTCCACACACCCGTAGGCGCTATGACTCGTCGCGCCAACGGGGAGTTTCTGTCTCTCGCATTTTTTAAGCCAGGGGAATGCCGTCCGACCGGTGATATAATGCCAGTCAAAGCATGGCAGTAAAGATTAGTGATTTCGGAGGCTATATTTTGACGCCGTCGTGAGGGGCCGTCGCGATATGGATGGCTTGTGGGTTACGTGGCTTTTTTTTTTTTTATTTTTTTTTTTATTTTATTTTTTTTTTTTTTTTTAGGTGTCTGATTTTCTATCTTTGGTTTGTGGTGTGTCGCCTTTCTCTTGTTTGTCTTATTCGGGTGTGTTGGTCGGTGGGTAGGTAGATGGGCTTGAATATATGTGACACGCACAGGCACACATAAGCACATAAGTGTGTGTGTGTGTGTGTGTTGTGTGTGTGGTGTGTGTGTGTGGTGTGTGTGTGTGTGTGTGTGTGTGTGTGTGTGTGTGTGTGTGTGAGAGAGAGAGAGAGAGAGAGAGAGAAAGAGAAAGAGAGAGAGAGAGAGAGGGAGAGAGAGAGAGAGAGAGGGAGGAGGGAGGGAGGGAGGGAGGGAAAGAGAGAGTGTGTATGTAATGTATGTATGTTTGTATGCATGTATACATGTATACACATATATGTACGTTCATGCGTATATGTGAATATATGTATCTGTATGTATATATACATATGTAAACACACACACAGGTCTATCTGCGTGTGAGTGCGTACACAAACATTCTCTCTTTCTCTCCGCACTAACGCGGAACCTGGCCAAGTCCCTCCTCCTCCCTCCCTCCCTCCCTCCCTCCCTCCTCCTTCTCTCCTCTCCCTCTCCCTCCCTTCCTTTCCCTCCCTCCCTCCTTCCCTCTCCCTCTCTCTCTCCTCTCCCTCTCTTCTCCCTCTCCCTCTCCTCCCTCCCTCCCTCCCTCCTCCCTCCCTCTCCTCTCTCCCTCTCCTCTCCCTCTCCCTCCCTCCCTCCTCCGCGCTGTGTGGCCCGATTACGTCGAGCGAAAGACTAATATTGTGTCCGAAAACATGGCCACTCCGCCTCCCCCCCCACCCCCGCCCCCCGCCCACGATCCGCTTCACCGGAGGGCGTGTGACGGGCGTGCGGGAGGAGGAGGCGGCGGCGCTTATGATTGTCATTTTCGTCTCGTCAAGTTTATCGGTTATTGTGGCGTGAAAGAACCTGTCCCCCCCCCCTCCTTCCTTCCCCTCCCTCCCCTCTTCCCTCCTCCTTCCCTCTCCCTCCCCTCCCCTCTCCTCCCTCT